TGGAAAAACTCCAATTAAGTACGCACCCCTTCTACGCACGGCCGGTACCACAGTGAACATGTAGTATATGACAGTTCGTCGTTCCAAACAAATTTAAAATTGTTAAAAACTAGATTTATGCCGTGTACTACGTGATGGTATGGTAACGTAGCGGGAAACGTTTCAAGTTCGTTTTGTTTTTCACCGCCGGCCGCAGCCGACTTGCAAGACGTCACCACCGCATCGAAAGGTAAGGCAAGTGCGGCGAAACGCACAGATTTGGATCCAGCTTTGGAGTGTTGGTGTCTTGGTGATCAAGCAAGCATGGTCAATAACGATTCGTGAAAAAAAGACAATATTTCAATATCGATTTTATCGGTAACGAGGGGGGGGGGTACTTGAATGTTGATGCACAAGTACGTAGCTTTAATTTTAATACGAAATGCGCCGAACACTTCTTTGATAGCGCCCGCGCGATTGACCCATGGAGAGCAACAATCATACAGGCGGAGAACTGGGCGGAGTATTTGGGTGTTGAGGTGCTACCGAATTTAAAATTTGACACCGAAACCAATTAACACAACAACAATAGACTACTGGGATCAATGGGACTTTCGATTCCGAACAGGAGAAAGTGACAAGTTTGACTGCGTTTCAAGTAATCTCTCGTTATGTGATAGATGTTTTTGTCACAAAATCAAAGGAATAAACACTATTAATTTGTACTCCGTAAAACTTATAAGTACAGTCTGTTCAGAGGAAAGAAAGACTTCCTTCTTCCATGTTCTGGAAAGCTGTCCTCAGCGCTGCGCATGCCACGGCCCTCTCTGTGTTCTTCAGCTGTAGGTGTACTTTGCATGTCGGCGCGCCAAACACCCCACCAACCGGCCGGGCGGTAAGATTTCATCAAAGGCTACATTTTAAGTTAACTCCGCCCCTATCATTGTAGCTTGCCGAACAGTCGAGTAGGAGTATATCTAGCTGGAATTTTCACGTCGTACTGGCTGGTGTAGCCCGCTACAAAGTAATTTCCTGTGGCATTTTATCAAGATTTAAAAATATTTGTGATACGAAGTGAAACATGGTTAACAATTTCTGAACCTTTGAAACGACGTGGGCATAATCTTTGTTGAAGATTCCTGAGTTGAACTCAAGCCGGAAGTGTATTGGAAATGATGGCCATCAGTCGAGGCACAACTGTTATGTTATCACATGTTACGTTACGTTACGACGATCAAGAACGTTCACGGCTTGCGGACCATTTCAAATATTACCACTCATAAACCCTACAATTGTATGTGTACTTATATTTTTGCCGGGGTTCCACTGAGATCGGCGCCGGCTAGCTGGGGAACGATCCTGTCGGCATGACAAAGCGCCGGGCGTCATTGCCAGAGACCTACATTTTCTTACCGTGGGTGACTTGACTTCTTCTTTTACCGCAACTTGGTGTCAATATCGACGATAGTCACAGGAAATATGTTCATTTATTGAAGTTTAACTTTATTTCCACTCGTCAATATTTTTATCAAAACATGCTATGGACGATCGACGTTCCAAGCTCACCGTGCTGGTGTTCCGCTATATTCCTGGGTCGTCCACGGATTTGTCGGCGGAAAACTCAAATAAAGTACGCACCGCGACTTTGGCGACGGCCCGAGACACTTCTGGGATTTTGAAAAATGTAAAAAGTGCGTACTATATTCGGGAATTTACGGCGTATTTCTTGTAATTCGGTACAATGCGACGCCATATTTTACAAAAGTTTTTCGGTGGCCCTCCCCCCCAGGCCGATTTTTTTTCTCGATGGCCCTCCCCCCGGCTCAAAATTTTTTTCCATGGCCCTCCCCCCAGGCCAAAATATTTTTCAATGGCCCTCCCCCCCAGTGCACCAGCCCTCCCTCCCCGGTAAATATCGTACAGTCCCTTACTTTGTTTGACCCTTACCTTTTCCCTCATGACCTCAACGAAAAATGACCGGCAGGCCAATTTTTTTGTGGATCAACAAAGGCTCACACCAATCAAACAAAACCTAAATCTAAAACAAGGTTCAATTGTATGAAATGTCAAGACTTGAATTCTCCAAAAGTTTGATGTTGCAATTCATTAGTTAAGTGTTTTTCAAATGCCTCTGAGTCAATGTTTTGAAACATGATACCTTTGTTGCCAAAAGACAAATTAGCATTGCACTTAACAGAAAAATATCCTGAAGTTATTACAACACTGACATTTCCTAAAGACTTGTTTTCCTACGATTCAAGATCATAAGAACATAACATGCCTAGCACCTGTCCTCTTCATTATAAGTAAACAACTCATACACTTGTCAATAAACAATACTACATGGCCTGACCCCAAATAACACTCAACAAGAAAACAACTCCTCCACAACACACAAAGACTGCTATTGACAAAGTGCCAAACATTTTCAGCAGTTGACACTACCACGCAGGTAGAGTTTCTGCTATGTACACCTGATCCACCACTTAAAGGATCAGACAAAAAAATTCCAGATGAGGAAATCCGATGTTCACATTTATTGACATTTTTTAGCACATTTTCGTCATCAGTTGATCAAAAATATGAAATAGCCACTAACAACAACCTACATGAAGCACCTCTTTACTTTGGGGTACCGCCCTTAAATAGCTAGAACCAGCCTAAGAAACAAGCAACCTTTTTCTGCCAGCAACATAACATTTTTTTACAAATATGAGACTCATGAGTATGTTGTGCGATGGTGTACTTGTATATGAAAAAAATGATCAGAAAATTGACTTAACAAATGCAGTTTTTCTGCCCCAAAATCGTTTTGGGTGGATGATTATGTAGTAGATTTTATATGTTAATCAACCACCTAATCAACAGACACATGACAGACAGCTGTGTAATTGGTCGCTTGTTTTGAGAGTAGTCCTGGGGGAGTCCTGCTGGCAGGAGGTCAAAGGTCATGAAGAATGTCAACAAAACAGGTTCCTGGCCCTGGGATGACCTTCTACATTTCAAGGACACTGGCTGGAGGTGACCCTAGGTTTGGTCACGGCCACATACCTGGCAGGCAAGGTTCAGTTGTCCAGGGCTAAAATTAGACTTGCTGCCATGCAGACAAGGTGTTAAACAGCTGCTTTGTTGTTATAACTATCATCATAATTTATCAGCAAACTTGTACTTGACAAGTAATTGCAAGGTACACACAGTATGTACAGAGGGAAAAAGTGCCAAGCCTATAGATCTATCTGGTGTTTTTACCTACAATACTGACTGAGGGGTTTGACATTTTGGAGAAAGTGGCTGGCGAACCATTGCACGTTACATAACTGTCACTGTTTACTCTGAAACACACGTACAGCCTTAGGGCAAAGCAGCGATTTTCAGCTAAAGAATCACATTCAATGGTGACTCTTTCTTCATTTCTAATTCAAATGTTTAAAGAGGCATATCTCCATCTATATATAATATATCTTATACCAAGGCTTGAAACAAATTATTTGCCAGTTATGCCCAGACCCCTTTGGGAATATCTTCGAATTCCCCTCTTGTGGACCTCTTTGATTAATGATGTTAGAACTGAACCACATACAAAATTTCTCCCTCTCTCATTCCCAGCATTAGCACAGTAGTAAGTCAGCTTGATAAGGTATCACCTTGACATTGTTCGAGCTGAACATTTGTTATTTGAAGTACAATATCACTGTCAAAGTCATTGCCAATAAAGAAAGAAAGAATATCTGCAAACATGTTCCAGATATTATGTGCATGTAATCTCAAACACTGAAGGAAAATAACCAAGAAGAGCTACCACCCATGCATTTCTTCATCGATCAAATCCAAACCTTCCTTGAAATTAGTTTTGATTTACCTAGCATGAAGCTCTGACGTTAATGGACATGTACATGTAACATGCGCTGAATAATTTAGGGGTTCGGGGATTTGCCTTTGAAACCTTGGACATGAAAAGCTAGATTCATGGACGATCCAAGCTGGTCAAACTTGGCAAAAATGCAAAGTGAAAATCTTAGGTTTGCACTGAGCTAAAATGATATCAAAATCTGGAAACTGCTGACTTGACGTCAGAGTCCTGCAGCTCTCAGAGGAAATTATCTGTTCAGGGGCCTTCTAAAGGTCCCAATAGTATAATTATAAAGTATAAAGACATGGGTCTGTAAGCTTTTTTCTGACATGAGACGTAGTGACCTATTACAGTTCGCCGTTAATTGTGGCTGGACCGATCTCATTCAACTGTCGATGAATTACATTACGTTATTGGTCGCTTTAATTCTAAGTAGCAAGATCTCCCCATTCAGACCCTCATAAATAAGCCTTGAGAGTTATATAATTTCTTTTCATTGGTGACAAAATAAAACAAATTGATTCAAGGCATTATCTGGCTAACTTAGCCTGATTACATGATGGTGTCATATAACAGGGATACCAAGGATACCAGGGTTACTTAAAGATTTTCTAACTGGGTGAAAGGTCATCCTTATACTCTTACAGGTTACATCACCTCACCTAATACACTTCTCTGTGGACTGTTCCATTAGGAAAAAACATGGGAGTTGCACCAAGAAACATTTTTTCCTACGCTGACAGCTATTTGTTTTATCAAAGTTGATGCATGCCTCAAGTTGCATCATGCCATGTTTAAGGTGGTACAGCGTCTGAATGTGCAAATTTAAAAAACGCGTGCCTAGGGTTTAAATAATGGAGAAGTAATGTACCTTAGGTTAATCAGTAACCGAACAAAACAAAAGAAAACGCTCGCATCAGCTGGACTTAATAAAAGCACATTCCTGTTCCCCTGAATAGAGAAGAAACTACAAGCGTCCTAGTTCCTAGTGTTTCAAAAGAATCTATTTGAAGGATACCAGTAATATATAATCATCATTATGAATTTAGCCTTGGATTTATAAAAAGTTACACTGATAAGGTATATTGCAATAGCTAGTTGTCAGGAGGATCTCGAGATTCATACAATGTACAACAGTTAGATGTTCAATAAACAAATTTACAAGGCTGGCTTTTATCTTAAGTTTATTAGGGATTCAACATTGATTTTCAACATATAGATGAAGGGGTGAACCATTTTAAGAGCCTCATCATATACTAAACAGATCTATACAATATAAATTGGACGCATAGTTCTGACTTCTCTGCAAGAGCAAAGGAAGGATTAGAGCCCCACAGAATCTTGTATCATACGGGACAGGTACAGGGACAACACAGCACCCAGAAGAGGCCTCCCTGCACCTCTGAGGAGCACATAGCAGCATGCCTAACATGTGAGACAGGCTCCAAAACTGGGTCACTTGTCAGGTGACCTGGATACATCTCCTGGGTCTGTTTACAGATATGGACATTGCAAAACAGATGGCAGATATTTCTGGTGCATCTTTAGGCCTGAAATGTTACGAACGGACAGGTGCATTTTAGTTACCCAGCTGCAGCTACTCTTTGCACAGTTACAGACAGATTATTTTAACACAAAGTACTGTTGTAAGCCTAATATTCTGCTGATTATGAGATATCTTATGGATTTGTTGCCGAGTTGGGCATGTGAGTATACAATACAGCTCAGTACGTAGCTTTAACTCAACAACTAGCCCTAAGATGACTGCATGCACAACAAGAACACAATCCGTACAAATATGGACACATAAGCCAATCAACATTCTTGGCCAATCAAACTGCAAGCGCAAACATAACCAAGTGAGCACGTGAAGAAGTCGTGCATGCAAATAATAGGTACACACGTTGAAACAAAGCTCAGCGTTGCTTTCTCAGGGTTGCATCACAAGCGGTAACCCGATATACTGCGCTTAGGTTACCGCGAGTGTTTTAAACCAAACAGCTGGGCGTAGATGGTTGCAAGGGGCAATGTTACCGTGCCGAATGTAGCTTTGCAGGATTTAAAGCCATGGAAAATTCGCTATTTAAATTGCTTCGTTCAAACAAACTGGATGGCCCATGTAAAATGCCACTCAGTTTACATAGCACTTTTGCAATGTAACAAATCATGGTTTGCTATTAACTACATGATTTAGGAAAAGGGGAACTGAGTACTGTACAGTATAGCCTATAGGAAACCCATCAAGAGCTATGTGTGAACGACTTTAAATCCATGGTCATTCTCATAGCGGGCTAGGACAAAGGGAAACCTACTGAAGCCAAACAATAGGATGCACACCTGTCGACACACCTGTCCCGGACAAAGGGAAACACCCAACAAAGAAACATTCATTTCTTATTCATCAGCAATGTCCACATTCATTTACAAAAAGTGACCACTTACCTAGATTTTGTGCAATTCTTTTAAATTGAACATTCAGTTTTGTTCTTATTGGTGAGGAAACTTTTTAACTTTTTAATGATATTCCCATATTGCGATTATTCAATGGATCTATAATGTATTACTTACCACACAGTCAAGCAGTGAGACGATGTGCTCATGCTGCAGCTCCTACATTATTATAAGGAGAAATAATTTTCTTTACTTTAGCATTCATTTCAAGTAAGTAGTTAGCATTCATTTCAATACATCAGTAAAACTCAACACTGGCAATATCAAACCAAAGATATGAAAAAATGAAATCATTTATCAGAAACTCTACTCATTAATCTGTATGCTTGCTCACCTTCAGGATTTTAATCTCTTTTCCCAGCAGTGCATGACTCTTGCTCAAATTTTTCTTGCTGATGCATTTAATTGCCACAGGAGACTCCGGTCGCTGATGTTGAAAGGAAAATATGATCTCATCAGAGATACAACAAATCAAGTCAGACCACGACAAGTTTCCGAGTTGGAAGAAATGATGTCATCTGGGGCATAGGAACGATCTTTGTTTTGGTGGGCCATAGGCCGGCCCAGGATGACGAAATAGGAAACCGGTACCACGAAAGATAAAGGAAGTCTTACCTTTTTCCGGCGTCCTTTGAAGACGATTGCAAAGGCTCCATGGCCGATCAGATCTTTCTTGTGGTATTCAAACTCGCCTACAGATTCTGCCATGACTGTATCAGGCAGAATTTGGGCTTCTTTAGTGTTCCGATCCAAACCTACCCAAACCAAACGACAATGGCCTCTCTTCGGGCGAGTCCCGGCCTGCTACTGCTGCGTTCCGCCAAAATCCCAGCTCGCGATTCCCGCTTACTTGGAGAGATTCTCCACAGGACGACATCCAACACATGTTTGGAGTTCATCAGAGAGACAGAATCTCCGGAGCATCACCCGGCTAGGACATTTTCCTGCGATTTTTCGAGGACAACAAGACCGAAATTTTCCACAGCTGAAACCTTTCGCAATACCGAACGGTTTGTTATGGTCCGGCCGTAACACAGCTTCACAGAGGTTCCTACGCAGCACTATTTTTCTTCTCGGTCCCGGTCCACTTTATAGTTGACGCACGTTATGATCAACGCTCCGTTTCAATCAGCATCGAAGTCAAGTCTGAAAAACTGTTGCTGGCAAGAATGACGCACACGTCTTTCCGTTGTAAATATTTTTGTTTTTATGCCAAGGGTTGGCCCAGTCACGCGGAGGAGTATTTCCGTTGTTTACAACGTGACGTCACGACATCAGCGCCGCAGTACGCAATCAAGTTAAATTTACCTTTCTTTGCGAATAATAGAATAAAGCGGCAAAATACGATTACTAATTCTAAATGCCGGTACACAAACAGCTTACAGATTTAAATCTGACTGAATGTTTGCTCAGTTTTAACACTTTGAGGTACATTTGTGATTTTTCGGGATACTGCCTGTGAATATATGCATGTTCTTGCTTTCAAATCACGATCGCCGTGAGTCAGTTCTCGCGAGACTTTGGGTGCGTGGCGAGACACGAGCCAAAAAATAGTGGAAGCAGATTTCGCTAGCCACGTGCAGACTTGTGCAATACTCAGGAAAGCCGAAATTTCGCAACAAAATTCTTTTCCCAGGTCTCTCTTCATGCGCTGTTGCAGTGGAGGTGGTGTGGACACTGGTTTGTCCGTTTTGGTGCTACAGTTTTTACACGTAAGTCGGGTAAAACGGGGGAAATATGGAAAGTCCTTGGCCAGCGAGTGCCGTTCTGTCCATTCAAAACTGAAGCATGAGTCATTCCTGAGCCCTAACTGGGGATATCTCCTTTCCTAGATACGTGCAGCTATTCTTCCAGTTGTAGCTTTCACTTATAGGTATTGTTCTTCTCAGGTAGGAATTGTTGTATTTTTTAATCCCCGTATATTTTACGTGTGAAGGAATTCCCATCAATCACATGGGAGTCGGAAACTCGCAAGTTGTCAGTGATGACGTCGTGGCCAACCTAAAATTTTTGAACGCAAAATGAATCCTGAAGCTGAACGAAATGGGCATGGTTTGCCTTTGACTTGTCGCGGTTTGTTCCAGAGTTCAGAGTAACGCCTACCGTGTGTCCTGTTTCCCACATCACCAAATGAGTGATTTATTAATTAATTGCCGTTACTTTCAAAGTAATATTTAGACAAGGTGGCGTAAACAAAGTAGTATCAGGCTTGGGGCAAAATAATTACGTCAAGGTAGCATTTACGAAAGTTACCCCGTTTGACAGTGATGTAAACCCCATGTCAGTTATCGAAAGTACGAGGACTGCTAACACCCCAATCCAAAAGTAGCCTGAGGCACTGAAAGTGTGAAGAAAAACCGGTTGTCTGATTTCCCTGTCCCACAGATGACCTTTGAGTGCAAATAGGTCATCTTGTTGTGGTCCCCATTTAGAAACAGCTGTGTCTGTATTTTGGTCACCATCATTAAAAGTCTTTTTGTCACAGGGAAATGCTTCACAGCAAAAATGTGTGAGGTGACCTGACAATGTGACATGACAGTAGCAATGTGGCATGTTTCTGTGTTAACCTGGTTTCACATTGTTCTGACCTTGACACCATTAGGGATAACGGTCTCTAACCAGTTCAGTTCTTAAGTTGTAAGCATCAATCCATTGATGGATTCACTTTTTCAATATGAGCAATTGTCATGGCATCACGGCTCTCACGGCCAGTGAGTGATAAACTGGGTCGGAGTTGTCATTTTCCCACCAATAATTTGTTTATGACTACCATTAATGACACCATTAATTTGCTTTTGCCTACCAATCATTGATGTTAACAAAAACATCAATTACATGTGTTATGCTTCTGTACTAATATTTTTTACATTATCCTATGTCATCTGCAGGTTTGGAGAATCAGTACTCTGTAGAATCCCATCATCATGACAGCCTGTCGGATAGTTATGACAGCCGGTATCTCCGTAGCAGTGGCTGTGATCACTGTTCTCTGGTTCACCAGCAAAAAGAAAAAGAAGCCTAGTACATCAACCAAAGGCTTAGACAAGCACAGCAGCAGTAGCAGTAGTAAAACTAGTAGTATAGACAAGGAGGAATCCCCTCAGGCCGCTAGTAATAGTAGTGTTGAAGAGCAGTTCAGCTTTAAACATACAGATCTAGCAGTAGAAGAGCTATCTGCCAACACCTTTAGTGCTAAGGATTTCAGTACAGCTACAGATTTGTCAGAGAGCTCTTTATCTCAGAAGAGAGAAGCTCCACTTCTGCATCTGGAGCCATGCAAGCGGCCTGAGTCGTTGAGTTCTGCTGGAGACCAGAAGTACCAGCAAGAGGAGAATGAAGATGCCCCTCTGCAGAATGAGCAGAACGAGATGGCAGCAATCAGTGTCACCAAGAGCCCTGATGTTGGAAAGTCGGAAAAAACATCAACCAAAGAGGAAACAAGCACAAAAGAAGTACAAGATGTCAGCAAAGAAGAAAACACAACAGCTGATGAGATGGATCCTATTCCTGAAGAATCATCCAGTAAAGATGATGATGTTTCCGATGCTCCTGAGGGTTGCACTGATTGTGAGAAAAATGTAGAGGAAGAGGGTAGTGACAAACAAGGGTTTTCTCCTCCACTTTCCCCAGCAGTCTCCAGCAAAGTGCTTTGTGCTCCTATTTCTTCAGCACTCTCAAGCAAAGTGTGCAGTACTGATAGTGACGACTTGAACTGTGGCCCAGAGCTTAAGTTAGAGGAATCCTCAATAGATATTTCACTTCAGTCCCAAGTGACATCCACAGAAGCTGAAAATGTCAGCTCTTCAGCTGAACCATCTCAGGAGTCCAGCAGTTGCCAAGAGGAGTCTTCTCACTCTCAGGAAGCCGACAGAGTGCAAACCAGCAGCCAAGGGTCATCCCTGTCAGAATCTAGCACTGATGGGTCAGCGGTAGATGAAACATCGGTGGGAAAAGATGCAGCTGATGCTTCCAGCGATGAGGGAATAACAGACTGTGCAAACAGCGAGGTTACTGTTGAGTGCACACACTCATCTAGTGCCGAGGTCCAGTCAGTCCCAACCTCTGACTGGGGCACAGCAGTTGAAGAGCTGGAACGCAAAAGCGAGCAGAAAAAGATGCAGTCGCCACCAAAGACCCGCAAATCCTCCGGCGAGGTGGATAGCCAGAAGTCCCCTTCTCCCACCCCGGTAGACGCTCCAATGGTTTCCCCTGGGTCAGAGGTCAGCAGCGAGGTGTCCAATGACAGCGGCCGTAGCACCATGGACAACGGTGCAGCGAGCACGGCCAGTAGCAGCACCCATCAGGACCAGGCTGGGGTTCTGGAGGAGGACCAGGTCATAACCTGGAAAATCAACTTCCCATCGGTACACATCATCTCTTGTCCGTACTTTGACGGTGGTTTTTATTTTGCAGCAATTAAACTTTAAGTTTAAGGAGTATCAGGGTACCTTGAGAAAGATCTTGCTTTTGCTTTGGTTGATTTCTGATTCTCACTTCCAAATCAGTTTGTTTGACCAAAGTTACAACCTTTATCAATTTGAATTGTACCTTTCTGTTTACTAGGACCTGTGTGGCCGTCTGATCGGGAAGCAGGGCAGGAACATCAAGTGGTTGATGGACAGGACAGGCTGTAACATCTACATCAGGAAGAGTCCTGACTTCATGCAGTGGTGCTGTCTGGAAGGTGGGTATCACACTAGCCTGACTACTTCACTCTTCTAGCAGCCTTTCCACTGATGTAGAAGCTTGATGGCCAACACCTCTAATTTAGTCTAAGTCAGGATAATTAGGAACATCTCAATCATTAACGTGGACCAATTATTGTCAGACTGAGCACAACAAATACTTGAAGCAAAGTCTGTAATTTCAGTCTTGCTGTTTCTCTATCAAAACAGGCACCCAGAGCGAAGTGGACCACGCTCTGGACCTGATTGGTCGGAAGTTCCCCACGGTGGACCTGAGCGCCGTTGAAGACTGTCCCGTCGAGGAATCCTCCGACATCTCCCAAGTAATGCCGGGTCCATGTCTGCATGGCTGATACATGAACTGAAGATGTCCAGGAGTGAAGCAGTGATAGTGCATGTCCCACTGCAAAGCTTTTTCAATCATTGTCAATCTGCATGTGTGTTTAACCAAAATGTTACCAAGGGTGATTTGTAGTTATTAACCCTCTCCCTGCCGACTCTTAGAAGCCGTGCAGGTAACAAGTCATCAGATTTGGTGTTTGGGATTTTTGTAGCAGGGAGAAGGTTAAGGTAGACAAATGATTTTTACTAAATCAGCAACTACAATCAGAATTAAGCCAATCTCTGTGTGAGTTATGTCTGTTGGGAGGAAAATTTGTGGTACTGTGAGAGTTGTTCTGTATATATACCTGCTTACTTTACATGAAAAAGCATAGCCAAACGGGTATAACCTGGTATTGAAATACTCTGGAAAGCAGAAAGCTGACTGGTATTGAGACCCCACTTGCAGCTTCTGACAAAAGGGTTTTGCTAACCGATTTTATGGACTCGGACACAGAGATCTTGCTTTAACAGACCTCTGACACGGGTTACTTCAATGTTCTACAAGACCAACAACCTTAGCTGTGGTCAAAATCATTAAAGGTCCAACTTCATTTGATACAAGTAACAGGTGTAGGGTAGAGCAACTCTGAGCTCCAAGGAAAGGTGTCTTGATGTTGTTGCATGCCAGTTGTTGCCCCCTGATTCCCATGATTGCGTTGGGCTTGCTGTGGTGTGCATGTGTGTTTCTGACAGCATGATGTGTCCCGTGGTGTTTCAGAGGTGTGTGGACATCATCCCTGTCCTCCCTCCTCAACTCCAGCTGCAGCTGACCGAGGGTCTGAACGACGTGATCGTCTGTAACATCCTGGACGCCTCGCACATCTTTGTTCAGCAGCACATCCACCCCACCTTCCCCGCTCTGGCCACGCTGGACCACTGTATGGCCATCTGCTACGCCGACCAAACACTGGTGCCAGGGGTGCCCAAACCTGTAGACAGTAAGGGCCATCTAATGGAAAATCTTGTGTTGTGGTGGTGTGCAAACTTTTCCAACCATTTGTTTTGGTTCTTCCTGAGCATTTTAAAAGGAAACCTAACTTTAGTATACTGTGTGAATCACTGAATCTACATTTCTTGCAACATATGATGTAACTCTGAATCAAGGTTGAAGTGTAATCTCCAACACACAAATATTGGACTCAACCCAAAATTTTCAAGTGATCAACTACTGTAACATTCTTTGTCAAGAAATGAGCAATCCACCGCTTCTGTGACATCACGTCATGCAGATGACACACGTGACTTGGTGAGCAGGGGACCGTAGGTTGCAGAAAGTTGATGGCATCCATAAATTGTAGAACCCTGAAAGGAATATCTTGTCCAGCTCACAAGATTCATGTCAAATAAGCTCCAAATTTGGCTCCTGTTACAATAAAGGTCAGACAGAAGATCGATCAACTGTAAGTTTGCAATGCTTCACCAATGTTTGACATCTATGTTATGGTACCTCCACAGTTGGTGTGATCTGTGTGGCACCGTCACCCATGGTGGGAGCGTACTGTCGCGCCGAAGTCCGGGAGGTCATGGACGACACGGACTCCGTGGTGGTGAAGTTCTGTGACTACGGAGGGTACTACCACGTCCCGCGAGATGTCCTCAGACAGATCAGGTCAGATCCACATTGTCATGCCACCTTTTACATGGCAACTCGCAAGTTTTTACCTCCATGTATTGTTTTGGGCGGGTTTGCCTGTGGGGTTGTTTGTATGCTTGTTTAGCAGAGATGGTGACAGGGATAGTGGGTGGATAGTTGGGCACTTGATTGACAGGGAGGTTAGGCTCAGGGGTGACTTAGCATGTGCCGTGTGAGGGTAAGTTGTCAATATGTGGAGGAATTCAGTAAGAAACCTCCTCTACAGTTCTCCTAAACACTTCCTTTAGGTCTGAAATCTTTAATTTCTTGTTCACTTTCCATTAAATCTGCCAACTTCACCATTTTATTTCTTTACAGGAGTGATTTCATGACCCTACCATTCCAGGCTGTGGAATGTTACATGGCAAACATCGCACCACTAGAAGGTACTCGTATTTAGGTCTTCCCTTTTTTCTCTTAACAAAGACTGAAGTTTCATGCTAAGCCCTTTCTTTTCATATGGTGTCACTTGCACCATGCTGGATTACAGTGTGTATCTTTTAAGCACTATGAGTTTATAGGCTTTTTATTATTCCAAATGAAGATTATGCAAAGAATAATGCTTTAGTAAGAAACACCTGTGTTTTTTCTTGACCAGGTGAGGAGAGCTTCTCCCTGGAGGCCACAGGACTGGTGGAGGAGTTGACCCAGGGTATAGTGACTCAGGTGAACGTGGTGGGGTACTCTACTGAAGGCTGCCCACTGGTACATCTGTACTCTACACAGGGTGACACAGTAAGTACACTACAGTATCACATTCTCAATCAATCATCAAGTGACCATTGTAGGCATACTTTGTACCATCCTTGAAAGCTTGACATATTGTGCCATTTTGCTCTGACATAAATCCTAGGTGTGCAATACAGATATGTAAATAAAAGCATTTTTCTCACTCACTCACTCACTATCCGTGTTTAGATTAAATTCTGTGCAAGAATTAACTTTTGTTATGTGAACATCTCACTTTCCAATGGACATTGAGCACAAGGGCTGTAGCTAGGGCTATCTCATCTAAACAAAGACCAAAAGTACAATGATGCCTACTGATGAACACCCTCTCTTGCAGAGCATCATGGTGAACCGGGTCATGGTGGAACAGGGGCTGGCACAGTGGATAGAGGGATGAATCTTACAGTTCCAAATCAGCTGCCAGCTTTACTGCCACAAGTGCAATCACCGCAACCTAGTTTCAGAGATGTCATCATAACAGAGAAAAGAAATACATGGCAGAAAGTCAGATATGGGCTGTAACTACCATTTTCTTTCCAGCATCTTGTGTAGCAAAGGCTCAGTTGTGTAATGCTGTACATACATTGCTAAATAGAGCAGATCCTTTGGGGAAAAGACTTAATTGTTTAGTTTGATGACAACCTAGATGGCATTTCTGAGATACAAGCTCTGCAACATGCTATGCTATAGAGGCGCTGTGTACATATTATTACTACAAGTAGTTTTTGTTAGCTAAATTATGTTTATTACTTACTTGTGTTGGATAGTTTGAGAAGAAGAGCTTTTAATTATTGAACACCAAATAAAGATATTTGACATCTCTTATGTTAACTGGAATATTTCATTTATGTCTACAACAGAAATGATATTCAAGAGAGCAAAGGTTTCCGTTTCTTGTACAATTTTTTCAGCGATGCTTTTGTTGAAAAACTGGACAACCCACTACTTCATCTCGTGCAATGAGACTGTTTCACTTGTCAGATTTACATAAATATTGTACATACTGGTAACACACATTGTCCTTGACTGTACAGTTTATAAAAAACATGTTCCTAGCAGGTTTACAAGTTACAGCTGTTTTTACATGCATCCGAATCAGATTATATGGAGACAAGCATTAGATTTCTATGACTAAAATGGAAGCCACTTGCCTGAAATAGTTTCTACATTCATACATCTTTGGAAAGATTTAATGTCTGCCTACATTGAGTGATAGCTGGTTATATGGGAATCATGGATGTGTATAGAGAAATTACTTATTGTTGCTTTCTACTGCATGCATGAGAGAAATAATGAAGCAAAACCATAAAAAGATGTGATTGAAGCAGACAATAGATGTGATTGTGTGATGAGTACTTTGTGTACTGGTGATTTGCTTTGTCTATTTTTCCAATAAAGTTACCTTTGCACCATAACCAGCACTTGTCTGTCATGCATCTGAGGGCCCAGTCAAATACTCCATACGGTTGTTGTATGTTTGCAAATGAATAATAATACTGGTTTATTGTTCGTCTTGCACATGTTACATCTCGCAGGGCATAGGCCCTGAATTGGTTGTAACTACAATGTGCTAATTAGTTAAAAAAATTAATTACCCTTCACCAAAATAACAAATATACAAAGTGGTCACCGTAGGACGGTACTCACGACGAAAGAATTACTGACATACACATTAAAATTTCGAAATTTCACATACAATGGTTAAAATGCGACACGATTCTTTAAAATATTTTAGAGCGTAATAATGCATATATTATATAAAAGCTACTTCCCCACGGTATGGAGGTAGCCAGTTCCGGTAAAGGGGGGAGTTCAGCAGTCCTCTCCCTAACTTCTTGCACAGTTCTTCCCGCCTGGATTCTAGCGTAGGTAGACTCAGTTCGGAGCAGGCCTCCAGGTAGCAGGTGTACTGATTGCCGAGGATTATACGACACGCTCGGCGCTGGATACCTTCGAGCTGTTTTGACTGGGTTTTTGTGAGACAAGAACTCCAAACCGGTGCGGCATACTCCACTATCGGTCGGACGTAGCATATGTACACAGTCATGAGGTCAGCATGAGGTAGGTGGAACTTCTTAAGCTGTTTTAACAGAAAGAGTCGCTTGGAGCTCTGTTTAACGACATAAGACATTCTTTGGCTAGTCACACAAAATTCTGCTGTCTTGTAACAGAAAATGCTTCCTTAGATGGTTGACAGCGGTTGGTTCTGTCAAAGCCTGCTTAAAAACTTGTGTTACAAGCTACAACCAGTTACTGCAGCATTAACAGCATAGTGTTGTACATACGTAACCTTAGAAAGATTATTCCAGTGTTGGATTGTTTACCCTTTCTTTGGACCTTGCCTCCAACTTGAAGCATTTTAATCTTCACAGTGTATGCAGGAACATGCTTTGTTTGGGAATGCAGGTTGGGGAACATGTCGGTTAATCTTCAGGTAGGTATAGTGTTGGATATCCTTTCTAGTGGTGAAGTTGATATAACTTTATGTCCAACAGCAAGTAAAAACCATATCAATGATGAAGTTGACATTGTACTTTTATTTCTCATCTTGTAATATCACATTTCAATAGTTTCTCTTATTAACTTCTTTGCATACAAGTCCATTACATGGGTTTCAATACAGAGCACATTGTAGCTTAAATGATTTCGTCCACTGACATTGACTGCAGCATATCTTGCCTATCAAGCAGATTACTTCAGCAGACTTTTAGCAGATGTGAGGCCTGTTCCGTAGCATGGTACATTGGAGATGAGTTGAAGATGAATACACTGCAATGCTGCAACTACTTTCTGTTGGACAGGATGCTGTGAAGTAGAATTCCTGGAAATAAAACAAACAAAAAATCATTAGATGCTACATTGTGTGAAGTGACTTAGTGGCTGCATGTAACATGTATGTCACATACTTTAAGCTGTTCATTTTTTTAGATGAAAAGTACAGCAACATTTTCGTTTTATGACTGTTGACTTGTTTCCCACCTGTTGCTACAGAGACGTTGAGGGAATCAATCCCAGGATGCAGTTCTCTCCCAGGCTGGATGGTCACCTTTGTTGTACACAAATTCTCCAGCTCTGAGCTCAGTCCATGGCCCTCATTACCTGCGGATGTTAATAGACCAATCCTAACTGTCCAGCATAATTAGCAGTTTAACCAATCAAAGTACAGCAATAAACGGGGATAGCATGGTAATTAGCAGTTCAACCAATGATAGCATGGTATTTTGATCAATAAGAGAGTGGATGTCACATATGTCTGTGAAATATTTGCATTTTATCTTTTATTCTGCATTACTACATTTTGATGGGGATGGGTAGGGATATATGATTGGTCTATATCATACGGATTTCCTTGTAAGAAAATGGGAACACTTCAATCCCTAGGCAAAAGGACTAAGCTATAGAAGTTGTCTTACCAAGAACAAGGACAGTGGGTCCACTCAGAGCCAAGTCACCACAAACAACTGTGTCCTCCAAGTCTTCAGTAGCTGCCACTGTCCCAACCACTGTCCATCCAGAACTGCTCAAGTTCTAAAATACAGAACAAACACCATGTTTACAAATTCAAGACAATCTAGCTTTTGGATGTAGATAACATACAGACATAAGTTGCAAGAGAGCTGGACTTATCTCTATTGTGAACACTGACATACCTGTAAGAGTGCTGGAATGTCCTCCATAGAATATACTGTCTGGGCCTCCATGGCACCTGAACTAGCTTTGCTCACCACAGGAGTCAAGGGGCTACTACAGGTGGAAACAAGGTCAACAAAAAACACAGTCAGAGGCATCATCTGTATAACTTGTCCAGAGAGATTTATAAATGACATAAGTTATGAAGGGTAAACCAAAAGTGCAATTGTAGTTGAACAATGTAACCCAAAACAAGGTAAAAGTTATGTGATAAATTGCTTCCAAGATTCATACCAATTACTGCTGCTGGCTATGATTCTGTCCACTCCAAGATAGTATGAAGACCGCAGGATGGCACCAAAATTCATGGGATCCTAAAAAGTCAACATATGAATTAGATCTTTGATGATACAATGTAAATGGAAAAATGAGTTATCAAGCTTCTCAAATCATAAAATGTTTGCTTGCTAACAAAGCAAAAAGGCCAGTGATATCACAAATTCCAAGATTACTAGGGGATCTGTGAAACCATCACCATCTTTCATCTTTCAAAAGTGACTTACCTGCACTTCATTCAATACCAGCCAGAT